GCATCTAGATGATTTAAGTACATGCACTTTGGGTGCCTTCCTTCATCCTGAAGCGTTATCTCTGCAGCAGTGTTCAGGCTTCAGAGCCAGCATCTTGAGAGAGTGGACTGAGCACAGCTCCCATTGAGTTGCAAACAATTGCTTTTTGAGGGTTACATACATCACAAAATGGCACAGTCATGCAAACATGATATATACTTTCACCGTTTGCTTTTGTTTCTAGTAGTAGTTCAGACTGTTATTGTGTCTATTAAATTTTCCAACTGAAACAAATGCAATTCTTCTGTCAAATCAGAGCTGAAACACAGCCACAAAACCAGCACTGGGATATCTGGTGTTTTGCTCTTCACACTGGTAACTATGATGACCTGAAAATAACATAATGTTTCTGTGCTGGTTTAATTCCTGCTGCTGCTGCTCCACAGACTTCAGTATTCAAATACATGAATTTAAAGAGGAAAAAAATGATCTGTGTTTTTTTTTTTTTTTTTTTTTTTTTGTGTTTTTTCTATCTGGCTGTAAAAATCAAGGGAGGAAACGTCAGTAGGGCTCCATTTTAGGAAGCTACAGACAGCTGGACTGTATTTATGCTGTAGTAGGAGCAGCCACTTGGCTCTGTGAAAGCTGGAATCTGCTTGAGGATGTTCAGCCTCCAGGATTTGTGGGCCACAGATATATGGCAGTTTCTCAAATTTTTATTTTTTTCTTCAGTTGCCAAAGGTGCTCCTAAAAAGACATTTGAAAATGTGAACAGGTAGCAATTAGTCTCAGAAGTCAGAAGCATCCGAATGGGCTCTCTTCATGCAGAGAGAGATAAGGACCGACCAAAAGTCCGTGCTATCTGTCAAACACTGGCACTTTCTAATATGCCTGCTGCTTACAGTGGGGTTGTTGCCCAGAAAGTCTCGGTTCTGTCCCGATTAATCACCTACTGCAGTTCTAGGTCGGTGCTATACCTAGTTCAGCAACACCCCCCAGGAATGGCTAAGGCTGACTCTGGGAAAGTAAGATACCATAACCCCCTTTGTTGCCTGAATGAGGGTTAAATAGAGCTCGCCTTGCCAACTCATCATCTGAGCTGCATTACAGATCAGATGGAGCAGAGAAGAGTGGAAGGTCATGGACCCTGCGTTGTTCTGAACGGCCCTGTCACTCCGCAAGAGAGTTTGCTGCTTGGGAGAAACTTGCTGCTGCTTTTTTGATTGCTCGTCCGTTTTGGAAATGCTCTAAGTGATTCAAAGCATAAGATACACAGTTGTGCCGCACAGCTTGCGTTATCAGGGTGCCCTGCTCACACGTGTCAGGAGCAAATCTCTGTTGTAGTTTCCCATATCCCTTCTGCATACCAAGTACTCTCCTAGGCCTGGACACGAATGCTCTGGTTGTCTGTGTAGTCTGTTTCAGAGGCAGAAGGTTTTTTGAAGCCTACCAACTGCTGAATGTAAGCTTTTCCCCCACTTTTGAAGCTTTAATTGGGAAAATTTAAGTGCTTTTAGGGATATGTTATATTGGTTGACATGCTGAATTTGCAAGGTACTTTTCAGGAGTATTTTATGGCAGCCATGCAAGAAAGTTTTGGTTTTCATCTGTTTTTCACAGAAATCTCTGTTTATTAAGTCTGCTTTTCTTTGGGACGTTCTAGTTGCAAAACCAGTGTTTCTAAGAACACTGCCAAGCTGGGGTTTCTTGGGGCTTTTACTTGATAGCGTTCTTAATGCTGCTGAAGAAATTTACCTCTCTCTCCCAGTCTTAGTCTTTGCCACCTAGAAGATGCTGCTCTGTTCTCCCCTCAAGACTTGTTTTTTGGCGAACAAATCTAAACAAAAGCCAGCTCTCCTGAAAGACTGGGCATTACAGGTGACTGCAGCCAGGCTGGGACTTCTCACACTGGCCAGAGATACTGCCGGTCATCACGCTGATGTCTCAGCTCAGGATCTCTGGTACATGTCACAGGTTGCCCAGCGAGGCACTGATAGCTCTTCTCGATGACACGGAACAGCAGCCTAACCACATGGAAGGAGTTGTGGTCAAAAGCTTTGTTTGACAGGATAGCCGAGTAGAAAATGTTACCTACGTGCAACAAATTACAGCCTGTCACGGTCATGCTCCGCACAGACCCTGACAGCTCTGGAAAGCTGAAATCATGTACCCTCCCACTTGTACAAATTCGAGCAACTTGCTTCTGCTGTGCCACCGCCAGCTGAGTGCTCTCTCCAGAATTAGGCATTTTAATGTGGGAAGTGAAAATGATGAAAGTTTCCCCCTCTCTGCCCTGTTTGTTCCTTATCTCTGAGAGGATGAGAAGCACTACCTCCTACCAAAGCAAAGGGTTTCTCAGCTAGACAAAATGATTTACAGTATGAATAACCACATAATGATGGGCATGAAGCAAGTGCTAAATTTACTACAGCTCTGTACTGGCCGATCTTGCATAAAATGAAGCCATTTAGTAATAAGCGTCGCTTCACATCCCGCTTCTGTATTACTGCAAAACATCACTGTTGTTCCTTAGTTCTTCCAAAATGAACCATATAGCTTTGGCAACAGTACTCAAAAATGCTGCCCTCTCCCAGCACACTGGAAATACCAGTTATTTGCCAGAAACAACTCCCTGGGGCTCACATAATGTCTCTGCTGGGAGACAAGTGTTCCAGGTACTTACGAAACATTTGCCTTGAAAAGCCACAGCAATAATTGACCTGTACAGGAAGGTCTTTAACAAACTGCAGGGAGACTGTGTTTCTAATGGCTCTGGGCTTCTCCATCGGCATGACTGATAACTGTTGATAAACTTGGTGAAACAGGTTGTTTACCAGTCCTGAGGTAGTAGATATTTTCCTGAAAGTCTAATAAACATGTCATTATGCAGATTGCAGGTGCTGGAAGGTTCTTGTTTTGGCCAGACAACAGCCCTAGGGGATCTTTCAGTATAACGTTGGTTTTCAGTTCTGTGTCTCTTGTAGAAAAAAGCAGGTTTTTGTAGGCTTAAAATTTGATCCAGTGTGTGTGGACAGGAGAGCAAAACCCAGCATAACCCAGACCCAGAGTCAGTGGTGTGAGCCACCAAGCTTCTCTCTGTCTCAGTTTCTCGCTCTCTCACATGGAAGCAGGTTTTTCTTACTGGTCAGGGGAGCTGCAAGTCGCACTGATCATTTGTATCAGTGGCTGGGATCAGAGGTACTCAGCTACCTAAAGGCCTGGTTTGTTCTCTGGAGTCAACGGCAGTGGCCTTTTGAAGCAGCCCTAGTTACTAAATCATAGTGATATATTATAATCTGGGTGTATCTGCTGCTACGTAATGCTCAAGCCCAAACTTTCAAATAGCACCCACTTACAGCTCGAATACCGCATCTGCATCCAAGGGCTTCAGTAAACTGCCTGGTTTCCAGAAGCACTGAGCTGCAGATATGATGGGAGATGATATAAACTATCTAAATCTGCAGAATATCATGCTGCTGAAATCCTAGTTACTGAAGGCATTTTTGCTTGAAAAGTCTTTCCCGAGTTAGTAAATAATAATCGTCACACAGCTCCAAAACTAAAAGGTAGGACAATCCTTGTTCAAGTGGACGCATACATGGGTTTATGGACATGTAGAAATATTAATGATATATTATCTTTTTATCCAACTCTCCTAGGAATTTTCTGTTAAGCTGAATGAGTTAAACTTTGAGCTGTTGCTGATCTCAGCTCAAAAATATGTGTGATGGGCAGTTGCTGAGCTAACTTGGGTATGTTTCTCCTGGTGTTTCTAAACATGCCACAGAAGTGTTAGTAAGCACAGGATAATTGGTAACATGGGCCAGAACAAGAAGGTGTCTGTTCTGTTGCTTCTTGACTAAAGACATATCAAACATTAGCTGGATCTCAGAAATGAGGAAAAAGATAACTGCTTTGTAACAGTTACAAATATTCTGACCTTTTAAAAGGGAGAATGTTTTCATGTGTTTGAATGACACCTCATTGTAATTTTAAAGAAACACTGAATGGAAGAGGGTCAGAATGTCTTACAGCACATCACAGATGAGGCAAAATTTATCCAAAGCTATGACTGTCCAAGCGAGGCGCTGCCAGAATAGATCTGTCACCCATCAGCAGGGCCAATGCACTGCTCCCTAGCAGACATGGAATTTCATCCCATGATGTCCTTTGCTTCCCAGTGCTAGTCATGGCACTCCCCATAATGAAGCTATAGCTGATTTTTTTTTTTTTTTTTCATTTTCTTTTTTTAGCTTGAAAAATATCTGGCATTTGGTCTCTGAAAAGGGTTCAGGAGCAGGTTTGGTGCAGTAGACAGCTGTAGAAGGTGACTCAACCGAACCAGCTGAGAGAGTGAATAAAACTAGAAAGGACCCAGAAGGGATACAAATGAATAGAAAATGAGTGAGAAATTCTGATAATGGTGCATAAACCCTTTATAATTAGACTATCAGTGGCTCTTGTATACCTTTACAATCAAGCTTCTGGATGCAGAATGCCTATTGAGACACGCTAATTTTTTTTTTTTTTTTTTTTTTTTTGACCCAGATCAGACCAGAAAGGCAAGAGGCTGTATTCTGCACCTGGTCTTTGTAATTCACATCGCAACATGTACACCCTGGAGAGCAAATCTATAACTTTGTGAAAGCATTAACAACTTTTGGGGGAGTTTTATGTTCAGATCTCTTTCTTCCTGCACACATTACACATTCCTACCCCCTACAGAACAGGGCATGAAAGGTTTCTGGGAAACTGGGCTCTGTCTTTTCACAAAAGGAGGACGTACATGCCCTGAAGTCCTCCTACACGATACCAAATGCTGTGCATTCAACAGACCTGCTGGTTAATGATCTTGCCCATAAGTAATGTTTTAACCATAGAGTAGCTTTTGTTTGCTTCAAAAGCCACAAAGCCAAAGAGGAAGTGTAGGAGAATGTGGGCAGGACAGTGGCCAGGAGCCTCATGACCTCATCTTTTTTCCGCCACACGGGGATTGGTGGCTGTGCCTGGGACAGGGTTTAAATACCCCGAGATCGGAGATGTCAGGCAGTCAGGGGACGAGGGGAGAAAGTCAGAGCTGCTGAGACCCAACTGGCTGGAGCTGCTGCTGGGATCACTAAGAGCGCTCTTGTCGCAGCCAACTCCTCCAGCACCAAAAAGGTAATTTTTCTGCTTTTTTTTTCCCTGACATGTGCCATTCTGTCTGCATCTTTAGTCAAGAAAGCGTTGGGCAGGAGATCTTTGAAAACTGCTTCACTGGACAGGGATGCTTGATGCTTCCCTGTGGAAAAAAAAGTGTGCTTTTACAAGAACAAGGTTGCTTTAGTGATGCAAGGTATTATGCGTAACCGGAATTTTAAACCTGTGTGCTGATAGGTGTCAGGTAGAGGTTACTGAAAACCCTGCCACTGAATCAAGTGCTGGAAACTCAAAGCTGGTACTCCAACACAGAAAGCTTCCTCCCTCGTGTAGCCACTGCCTGGCAGTGTCCCTGCTTCTCTCAGCAGGCTTGCAGTTTGTGCTGCACACTACTGAGGGATGGGACACACACCCTTCTCAGTGCAACTCCTGAAATTGCAGTACCCCTATTAGAGTGTCCTGTCTCAGGGCCAGCCTTACTAATGTATTTTAAATGTGCCCTTAGTAGCCTTTATTTCCTGCTATGATTTACTAAAATTTTAAAAGCCTCTTGTTCATCAGTAAATCAGTTTAATTTCTCAGGGATGTTCCTTACCCTGGGAATTGGTCTGTCAGCACCAGAATTCACTGTAGTTCAGCACTCTCCTTAATTTCAGCAGGAATCACACAGTTATTAAACTGCTAAAACTGCAGTGTGAGCAGGTAGTTCAGTTCATCTCTTACTTGGAAACACAAGTTACTCTGTTCAAACTTCTGGAGGGGGAAATAAAGGTCTAGCAATAAAAGCAGTTTATGTTCATATAAACTGAGCTTACTCACAGGAACTCCAGTTAAAAACCCTGAAAGCTAGTTTTAAAATAACTGAAAAGATAAGCCAAGCTGAGTTTGTCTTGTCCTGCCTCTTCTGACAAAATGGTGTTAAATGAACGAAGATGAACCAAAGCTGATCTTTATAGCACACTGTTTTTCACAAAGCTTTTCCTCTGCCAGTGCAAGTAAGTAGACAACAGAAGTCTGCTCACCTTCTCAGTGTAGCTACTCTCACCACTGCTCAGCACTTCTTAGTACCTTGTTTTAAGGTACTTTGAGTTGCCAAGTCACTACAAAACCAGCTGGGTGTGGGGTGGTGATGGAGGACAGAGGAAAAAGATTGGCATGGGCAGCTTGAATCCTTAGCAGAGATTTGGTCTTGTCAGAGCAAAGTGCTCCAGGAGAAAGAAAAAGCCTTTGGGATGTTTGTGGTATCTTACCTTGATGACTCACTGTTCCAAAATATTTTCTAGGTAAAACATCACTATGAAGCTGGCAGTTCTCTGTTTATGCCTTATCAGCATCACTGATGCATGGCCAGTAAGTAAATCACAAACGCGTATCAGCAATCCCTTGCATATTTTCACACGAGTGAGAAATTAATACTGACAAATGCTTCTTCTCTTTTTTCCCTTCAAGGTGAGTAAATCCAAGCAGCATGCCTTTTCTGCCAGCTCCGAAGAAAAATATGTAAGCTCCTTTTGTCTTTCTATTAATTTTCCTTAATATTTTTTTTTCCTCTAATACGCATTGTCTGATACTTGTTTTATGATTGTAGCTGCTTGCAGAACATGTCTTCACTTGGCTGTTATGAGCCAGTTTCTCAGGTAGCCAAAGCAGAGAGCCACTGATGTCAGGAGACTTTTGCCTTGTTGGGCATCCTGGTTGTGGACTTCTGTTAGTTCTATCTCTGGACTAGCACTGGAAACCTTTTTTCTAAATGAAAAATGTGTAAGCTGTCAGTTAGAAAAGATAAAAGGACTGTAGCATGACACAACTACTATAACCCACATCAATTAGTGTTGATCAGATGACAATATTTGGTGTTGGAAGAGCACTTTAATCCAATTCCTGTGATTTTTTGGAGTGGTGAGAGTGAATTGTATGTCTTGTTTTTAGCTATTTGATTTATACTCCATAGCCAGCTACTACCCATGTAAAATCAATTCTTTGCTCTGAGAATCAGCTTATGCATTTAGTTTAGTTTTCATGATGTGGGAGATAAATCTCTCTTGGTAAAAGGACCTGAGAATTAGCAGAAATGATGGTGGTTAGATAGAACTCCAAATTTCACTCAACAGAAACAAGTTGGAGAAAGTGATCTGGAATTCCCCAGGCTCTGCCAGTGGGAGAGGCACATCTTCTGTATTATATTGTTTGGCTATAATGTTCATCTGGGATCATGGCTTGTTCTCAGTCCTCTTCCTAGTGCAATGAATTGCTGAGGACACATGCTGTACAAAGGGAGTATGTATTGCAGATGCCACATCTGCCTGGAAAAAGAGGTTGTGATGCAGGCAGCTTTGCCTGCTCCTGTGTGCTCCTTCGTGGATTAAAACCACTTGTATTTTTCTCTTGAAGGACCCCAGGGGCCATCACTCACACAGATATCACCACCACATGAATTCTCGGTCTTGGGAGAGTCTGCAGCATCCACAGAATGACCTGGCATCACCTCAGCAGGTACAGGAAGCTTAACTGGAAGAGAAAGCAGAGCACCTTTCAATGCCAAGATTTGCAAGTTAGGATTAAGTGCTTAAAGAATAGTCATCATGCTGATCAGCTCTACTGTATACGCCTTTGTGTGCTAACAGTGAGTTTTATGTTGTTTTCAGACTCTTTACTCTTCAGAAGAAAGCGTGGATGTCCCAGTGCAACCGGTAAGTGTTTTGAACAGCAAAATGTCAGTTGAGTGCAGCAGGGCAGCCAGTGTGTAGCAGCACTCATTTTCCTCAGCCAAATGCGGTTCTTGTGGTAACATCTCTCCTTAAATAAAACAAAGCTTCAGGTAGGGTGAGTTGAATTCAGAGCAACTCATGCACGTAGCTCCTCAACAGTGTATAAGCTCTGGGTGAGCAGGACAGATACCAGTCTGCACACCTCACATGTATGTTCATTTGCCTGATGCATAATAAATGTTTTCCAGCACCTTCCTGATATGCCAAGCAAGAGCCATGAAGATGTGGATGATGACGACGATGATAACGATTCCAATGACACGGATGAATCTGATGAGGTTGTCACAAGTTTTCCCACAGACATTCCAGTAACAGTACCCTTCCCTCCATTCACCCGGGGAGACAACGCCGGCAGAGGTGACAGCGTGGCCTACAGGGTGAGGGCAAAAGCCACAGTGGTGAAGTCTAGCAAACTCCGCAAGGCTGCAAAACAGGTAAACAGCACTGAAGAGCAGTACCCTGGTGTTTGGAAAAGGGTTGTGAAGTTGAAAATGGACGTGTTATTTTAGAGGTGTCAGTTTTGAAAAGGATTGGTGAGGGGAAAGTAGGTGTAAGTGAAGAAATGTATCTTCTTTTTCTGGAGACCCCAAATCAGGTGGTGTTGATGGCTGCCGATGTGCTGAGGCAGGAGTGTAGCCTGCTGCTGTAAGCTACACAGTGCTGCAATTTGTACACGCATGATGTACTTGCACACATGAAATCTGAGGCCAGGATCAAACCTGAGTTTCTTGTAATGTGAAAGGTTCACGTAACCCCATAAAAGACCACAGTGTCTCCAGGCAGAGATGTATCTCTCAGGCTTCAGGTGTCCCCACAGCCAGATGCAGTACAGCAGCACCTCTTGACAGAGCAGCTCCTCAGGAGTGACAATGGCATTCTTGTTTTGATCTCTACCACAGCTCATTGAGTATGATGCCACCACGGAGGATGAGAGCGCCCTGGATGCGGACAGCCAGCAAGCAGGGTTCTCCCAGGAGCATCTCGCTGCCCGCCGCTCCCTGGGGAAGCATGCCATCAGTGGGGAATGGGCTGACAAGAGCCATGGGCAGGACAGCAGCGAGCTGGACAGCAAGCAGCGTGACCAGAGCATGGAAAATGACAGCCGGCAAAAATTTGATAGCCATGAGGCAGGAGATGATAGCAAGGCTGGTGCCAGAGGGGATAGCCGCCAGAGCATGGAAAGCAGGGAGAGCCAGGCCCACGTATCAGCTGAGAGCCGCGATGATAACAGCAATCAAACGCTGGAGAGCGCTGAGGATGCACAAGATCATCACAGCATCGAAAATAACGAAGTCACCCTTTAAAGGGAGACAAACACAATGTTCCCCTTCTGTTTCGATTCCTAAATAAGGGGTGTAGGAGGGGGAGTAGCTTCATTTCGGGTAACTGCTAACGTAGAGCGCGTGGTGACTTTGGGGGTTTGGGGCACCTTCTTTACCCAGTGGTCTCCCCTCAGCCGCCAGCAGCGCCAGCCCCCCGCACCGCACGCCACCGCCGGCCTCACAGGCTAGCCAGACCCACGCCACAGGAGCGATGGAGCGAGCGTTACCTCCCTGGCACACTGCTCTCTGTACTGCCAGCCTGTATTTTTGCTGTAACTGGATTGAAATAAAACCACAAAACCCTGTGCCTGCAGGCTGCGTGACTGTTGGGGCAAGAGGGGGTGGGGGGAAGCTTTCGGGCTGCACGAGGAGCTTTAATACCTCTCCTTCTTAAAACTGCGTGAAATAGAGATTTATTAAGTGGGTAAAACCTCTCCGCGGGGCCTCTTTCTGCTTTTACCGAGGGTGAGAGGCGAAATGGCCTGAAATACCCGGCGCCGGCCCCCGCACCGCTACCACAGAGGCGCCTCAGGGTTTCCCGCCTCACGGCTCAGGGCGGAGAGGGAAGGAGGCGTGCGGCCATAGCGGCCACCCCCCCGGCCGCGCCCCTCTCTGAGCTCACGGGGTGGGGAGGGAAGGAGGCCGCGGCCGCCGGGCAGCTCCATCTCCCTCCGGACCCCGGGCTTTCCGGGCTCGGCGGCGGGAGGGCGGGGAAGGGGCGGCGGCGGGTTGATGGCGGGCCGCGGGGGCTGCCGGCGCGGTCGGGAGCAGCTGGAGCTAGAGCGGCTGGGCGAGGCGGCGAGGGCCGGATCGTGCCCGCCGTCGCCGCCGCTCTCCGCCTGTTCGCGGCAGGCCTGGAGCCGGGACAACCCGGGCTTCGAGCCCGAGGAGGAGGAGGAGGAGGAGGAAGAGGAAGCGGCGGCGGCGGCAGGGCCGGTGCTGGAGATGGACGTGGAGTGGGGCAGCCCCGCGGCCGGCGCTTCGTCGTCGTTGGGCAGCGGCGCGGCGGGCCCGGGCGGCGGCGGCGGGCGGCGGCAGCAGCGGCGGGGCCCGGCGGGGCGCGGCGGGGCGGAGGGGCCGAGCCGCCCCCCGCTGCCGCCGCCCGGGCCCGCCGCGCCTCGCCGGGCGGCCTGGGCCAAGCGCCTGGCGCGGCGGCTGCGAGGTGAGCGCCGCAGGCCCCCCCTCGCCTCCGCTCTCGGATGATGTGTCTCGTCCGCCTTTCGCTTCAGACCGTCGCGGAGATCACCCCTTAGGAGTTGTTTGTAGTCCCGTTTACCTTCTTCTCCACCCACCCCTTCGCTACCTGTCCTCTCTTTCCTCTGCCCGCGTTCTTGTCCCATCTCCTGTGCCTGCCCCTGTCTGCATCCCCACCTCTTCGTGCACATCCATATTCTCATCTCTGGCCCGGTTATGTCCTTCAGCACGCACAAATGCACGAACACCTCTCAACTCCCCTTCCCCTGGAGCATCAGAGCTCTCTGCCCCCCAGGTCTTACTCCTGACTGTTTTCAGTGTCTCTCTCCTGAGGAGTTTTGGGATACATGGTGGCTTTTCTGTCTGTCTTTGGACAGTTGGAGCAGGATACCCATCTCTCTTTCTTTCAGCATCTGCTGTCCTATAAAAGATGTGGTTAGGATGGCATTTATGCTTAAAGTGGGGTTGCCGGGAGGGTGTTTGTTAATTTTTGCTTTCCTGCAGTATTGTGCAGTGCCTTGGAGCTTCCCTTGATGGTTGAGAGCTGCCTGTTGATGCGCGGCTGGTGACCAGGGACATAGTTTGAAGCATAAGCAGGAACACGTCACAGGAGCATTTGGAGTTTTGTTCTAAGCTTACTGCATTAACTGTGTGCTAAGCTGGCCCTGTACAGGGTTGATTTGACACAGCAGAGAAAATGGTGGGAGGGGAGTTCTTCGCATTCAGTGTTGTGGGAGCAAATGTGAGGAACCCCCCCCCCCCCCCCTTTTCATAGAAGCTTAAAATGTCAGCATCAAATCATGAGGATTTTTAACATAGAATTCATTCAAGTGTCAGACAGAATCTTTATAAAACTGTGGGAAAAGCAAACCATATTTGGAAAATAAGGTTTCTTCTAAAATACGAATTTTCTAAAGTGGTAGATAGTACTGTTACTGGCTGGCATGGCATCAGCAGAGGTGTTAAAATGAACCTGATTTTAAGCAGGGAGTTGGAAGTTAGGCTATTGTATGTCCTCACTTTGATTTTCACGTGCATGCAAAAATCATTTGCTATAATGATTTCTCTGACTTCAGCTGTCTTGCACCAAAATAAATCCCTCTTGATCATTGCAGTGTTTTACTTGGATGCAAGTCAGACTTGCAGAGATTATGGAATAGAGCATGTTTTCTTTTCAGCAGGTTTTATTGGGAGGGTGTTCAATGAACTAATTTATTTCACAACAAGAGACCGGAATGGCCAGGAAAAAATATAAATGATAATTATGTGTTACGCATGAACTGGTAGTGCTCTGTTTGGAGTCTTCAATGGTGTGTTTAAGTTAGTTTGTCACTGAGATCCATAAAGCCTAGGAAAGGAGATGCTTTATGTGGAGAAGGTGAAGTCCTTTTATAAAAATTCTTATCAAAGTAGACTGTCCAGCTGCTCCCTTCATACTAGTTGTTGCTGAGAAGGAATCTCCTGTGTATGCTTTTAACTGTGGTGAAAAATAGTGGTGTTTGAAGATGAGATATGAGAGTGACTGATCTGGTATAAATTGCTACTGTTTCATCTCCATCATGGTTCCTCCAGTAATACTCAAAACAGATTATCCACACTAGGACTGATTTTGGTGCTGGTTTCTGAGCCATTTTGAGCCTGAAGGCAGAGCTTAATAATGTGATTTGTCTAAGGTCAGAGTATTCGCAGATGGAAAGTCCAGCAGACAGGCTCCTTTTTCACCACCCCCAAACCTCCCCCCGCCATGAGATAGCATTCTGACAAAGGCTTGGTAAAATGCTTTTTTCAATCATCTACAGTTCATCTACAGCTTTGGGTTGGTTTTGGGTGGAGGAAGGTTGCTTATTTTTAGTATTCTTTTTTTCTAGCAGTTTTTTTGCTTTGAAGACTATATATGTATTTCCACCTTGTTCAGCTGAGCAAGCAGCAGAACCTAGAGGAATTGGCTTTTGGTGAAGCTGGATGATGTGCTGGTCAGAATGAGTGCAGGTGAGCCTTCAGGAGCATCAGCACCTGGCAGATGTTGCCAGAGAAGATGTTCTGGCCCTGCTCTGATAGCTGGGTCCCTTGCCTGTCCTGCTACCTAAATGCAGTGTATCTTGAGCTAGAATAACCAGTTTGGGAGCTGATGGATGTCTGTAGCTTTAACTTCTAATTTGAGCTTTCAGCTGAAAGATGAGGACCACCTTTGACGTGGTAACATCATGCATTCTTTTGACTGCTGGTGTTTTTACATTACTGGGTGTGAGCCTATCAATCAAGTGTATGCTGTGTGCAGTCAAGTATTAATATGCTGTATTAATCAAGTGTGCAATGGTGCAAAGTTGCAGTGCAAGAAAACAAAAATATTTTCTATAATGGCCACGGACCATATAGACTTCTTGCTGTTTGAGACCGCCTGTGTACACTGGTAGTATTCTATTTTTAGCTATAAAATGAAAAGTCTTGTTTCGTGTTCTAGGAGTGTTCGAAGTGGATTTATTCCTGTGGGTACTATCCACAGTTTCTGTTTATTTGTAACCTGCATACATTTTGTGTTTATAGGCAAGTGTAGCTAAAGTTACCATAATAGGTGGATCCTTTTCTAGCTCTTTCATGAGAATGTTGCCATTAATTCATAGTCACAGTAAATGGCTAGGTGTGACTTACATGCTGTGGAGGTACTGCAGGGTGCCACACTTGCCTGCTGCATAGGTAACTAACCTCTGAAGAATGTAGTTGCTGCAGGCTACGTGTCAAAAAGGTTGATTTTGAGCCTGAAATTGATATAGGGCACTTGAAGGATTACTGAGGTTTTAATACTGGAAAGAGCACTCAGTAGTTCTTTTGACATTTCATGGGTAACCAGGAGGATCTCTGAAGACTGGAAAATGGTATACTCTGTACTCAGTTTTATTTCTAGATGACTAGAAGAAAAAATAGCATAATTTATTTAATGAAATTCCATTTTACTAGACAGAATTCAGCAAGACAGATTAATCCTTTGGATATCAAAAGTGATAGTGTTGCCATAGCTAAACAAGTTGCCACTCATCAACTGAAGGATATTGAATGACAGCTTACACTTTTTTTTCTTGCTGTCAGTTCTGAAATAAAAACACAGAGACGATTTAAGTAATGGGATTTTGGTAATTGCAAGTATCAGGGAGACTGTAACAGGATTTACTAAGTGAATAGAAAGTCAGCTACTGCAGACTGTGTATTAGGTTCTTCTCTTTGTGGATTCTTTTCAGATTCTAACATGAGTCTCTGTGAAGTAGCTTTAGTCCCTCCAGTTCTGTAGATCTTTTCAGCAAACACCCCAGATGCCAAGGGGAGAGGAGGGGATGACTCTTAAGTCATCAAAAGTTTTGATGGGCAAAGCCCGTTTTCAGAGCCAGGCTGGAAAAGTAATCTGCCCCTCAGAGCTGTATGTGGTCACCCAGTGCTACTGTGTCCTCATGTCTGTCAATACTGAGTGTATGTAGGGCATTTTTTGAAGGGTTTTCTTAGTTACTGTTAAATGGAAGTAACAAATATAATTTCTAGTCACTCATTAGTTGTCATGATGCATTATTTGTGAAAGTAACATTTTTACAGAGTTGAACGAGTGCAGGGTCCGATGGTACCTTATTGAGGAATGTGAACTAAGGATTGTGACACTGTGTTTTCTTGTTTTGGGACAAAGCATCTTTGCCCGAGGGTCACTTTCTTCTCCTTCCCCCAGCCCCATTCATTCCGCAGCACCTGAATTTCTGTGTAGACAGATTAGCTAGCGATATGTATCTTGGCTTGAGGGCTTCCAGAACTTAAGACTTTTAGATAAATCTGAATTACTTTATATTCATTCTGTACCTTATAAACTTGGATATATGATTATGCAGGTATATGTGTATATGTAAGTACATATACATTGCATATATATTATGTGTGTGTGTATATATGTATATAACACTTTATAGATGTGTAAACAAATATTGTCATTTCCTGTGTTAGCTAACAAGCTCGACTTTTTATTGTAAAATGAAATTATTTTTTTATTTGCATTTGATCATTGTTTTTTGACAGCTCTTTTGAGTTTGTGTACTCTTTGGGTAAGCCATTTGGGGTACAGAATGGGTATGAGAGAGCT